CCATGGTCCCAGAGACTTCTCAGTGTCCACTAACTGAAATTTTCCCAACAACTTCATTTTGGGGAGTCCCAGATTGGTACATACTGAAACACCCCACCTTCCTTCAATTGAGTGAGAGCTGGTCTTGTAGACTTGGAGATTCCAGCTCTCTTCTCCTCTCCAATACTTTCTAAATTAGCCCAGTGACAGCCCTACAATTCACTCAGCTTAGCAAATCCACTTCTCTTCAGCACACCAGAGCCACATATCCCCTTTGTTAACCACTAAAAGCACCAATAAGAGAGATTCTACCTGTGACAATCATCTCACCCACTTTATGTCAGATCAAACCACACACAAAAAAGAAACCTACTCAAGGGCTGCAGAGATGGCTCAGAGGTTAAGAGCACTGGCTGCTCTTCCAGAGGTCCTGAGTTCAATTCCCAGCACCAACATGGTGGCTCACAGTCATCTGTAATGAGATCTGGCGCCCTCTTCTGTGTACATAATAAATAAATTTAAAAAAAAGAAAGAAAGAAAGAAACCTACTCATGGAGCAGAAGTCTGTATCCTAGGGTTTTCTATCAGTTTGGCATCTTAGCCACACAGTATCTCAAAGGAAAAAATTAAAAGGACACGCCTAATGATGTATATCCATGGATTGTTGTCTAAGATTTTCCCAGAAACATGTAATTTCTTGTTTTAATAAAAGGTTAAGAGAATGAAGAGATCCCAGATGACCCATGTTTAGTTTCCAGCATTGACATGGGGTAGCTCACAACTACAAAATCCCAGCACTAAGGAGGTAGAAGCTGGCAGACCTTTATGAGTTCAAGAACAGTCTGATCTACACTGAGAGCTCCAAACCAGACCCAACTATATAGTGAAACCCTGTTTAGTGGTTTGAATGAGAATGGTCCCCATACGTTTATGTATTTGAATACTTGGTTCCCAGTTGTTGGAATTGTTTAGGAAGGATTTGGAGGTGTGGCCTTGTTAGAGGAGGTGTGTCATTGGAGACAGGCTTTCAAAGCCCACACCTCTCCCAGTTGGCTTTCTCCCTCCCCACACACTGACTTGTGTTTGTGCCTCAAGATGTAAGCTCTCAGCCAATGCTCCAGCACCATGTCTACCTGCCTGCTGCCATGCTCCCCATCATGATTATCATGGACTCACCTTCTGAAACTGTGAGCCCCCAATAAACTCTTCCTTCTATAAGTTGCCTCGGTCATGGTCTTATCACAGCTATAGAAAAGTAAGACAGAAGTTGGACCAAAGAGTAGGATGTCGCTGTGATGGGCCTCACCATGCTCTAAGCGGGGATTAAGAGACTAATAGTAGGCGTTTGGAAGACAAAAGTGCTGAGAGCAATGTGAGCTATTAACACCCTGCTCAGGGGGTTTCAAAGGTAAACAATACTAGCAATTAGGTTAGAGACCATTCCTGTGATATTCTGGCAAAGAAGATGGCTGGGTTTTTGTCCTTGTCCTAAGAATATGCTCGAGGCTAAATTAAAGTGTCTTGGTCCAATTTCATTGGCAGAGGAGATTTCAGGACAGCCTGTTATTGATTCTGTTGTGTGGCAATTAGCAATCGCTCTTATGCAGACCTACAGTGAGGAAGAGCAAGTGGAGCAAAAAAAAATACAGTTTTAGGGAAAAAAGAGCACCAGGAAATGTAATGTTAGAGCCAAGGCTTGTGCTAAAAGAGATAAGGGCAGGCCTGATACAGGACGTAATAAAGGGGGTGACTTTATTACTTTATTACTTTATTATTATTGCCTCAGGGCAAGCCCTCCACCAGCTAAGCTTTCAACCTGTAAAAAGGAAAGGCCTAAAAAATTATCTGTCCCTAAAAGGTTATCAATAATTCAAAGCTTATTCAATTGTGTTTCAAGGTGGGCACCAGGTTCCATCCAGAGCAGGCAGCCAAACTTGGCAGCATCGGCCAGGTGGTACTGCCAATAGAGTCATGAAGGGGTTGTAGAATCTTCCTCCACCGTTAAGGAATGTTATGAAGTCAGGTGTGTGGCAGGGGAACCCCTGCACAGAGGTACTGAGAGGTCATTGCATGAAGCTTTGAAAGTGAAGTCCAGATTGTGTTCAGGACCCCAAGATGTTGGAGATTCTAGAGCAGTGAGATATCTCCCAAAGAGCACTGCAGACAAGGAGTAGAACCAGCCCAAGAGAAAGAAGTATGTTACAGTCCGCAAAGCTGAAGGGGCAGGCATCTAAGCCCTTTGACATCAGAGCTACAGGAGTTGGAGTTTGTCCTGCTGTGTTTCCATCTTGTATTGGTTCAATATTTATTCACTATGCCCACATTCCTCTCTTTTGGAATCATAGTGCATATTCTCTTCAATTGTATATTGAACATGTAATTTGCTTTTTGATTTTCCAGGGGTTTGCAATTAAGAGATTACTTTGAGTCTCAGAAGAGACTTTGGACTTTTACACTGTTGAGACTGTGAAAGTCTATGGAAATTTTTGAAATTGGATTAAAGAAATTTTGCATTATGATATAAGCACAAGCCTGTGAAGGTCAGGGAATAGAATGTGGTGTGTTAAATGGGAATGGCCTCCATAGGCTCATGTATTTGAATACTTGGTCCTTGGTGGAACTGTTTAGGAAGGATTTGGAGATATGACCTTGTTGGAGGAGGTGTGACTTAGTTGGAGGAGGTGTGTCACTTGGGGCAGGCTCTAGGGTTTCAAAAGTCCAAGCCAGCAGGTGGCTCTCTCTTCCTGCTGCCTTCACATCTGGATGCAGAACTCTTCCAGCACTTCTCCAGGACCATGTCTGTGTGTCATTCTCACCTCTTTTCAGTCTTTATTCAGGATATCATCACAACGCCTACAATGGCTTTGATCATGAAGCCAAGGCAGTCCTTTAACAAGTGATTCTTCTTTCTCAGCCTTCAGATTATCTGTTTGCAGGTCTCTGAAGTCAGACCTGCCTTCTCTCCTACTTTCCTACATAACCCATCATAACATGTTATAAACTGCAGGCACTCAAAATCTACTGCAAAATATTGTCGTTTGGGATAGAGAGAGATGGCTCAACCACAAAGGTTCTTGCATAGCTAGCCTGACATCTGAGTTGGGTCCTTTGAACCCATATAAAGATGGAAGGAGAACCGACTATACAGATTTACTGTCTGCCATTCACAGTGGCACATGTACACACATAAGCACATCAGGAATGCATGTAGTAGTAGTAGTAGTAGTAGTAGTAGTAGTAGTAAATGTTTTTAAGACTCACTAGAGCTTAGACGACCTCCTCTCCAACTGTATTTGGTACTGATCATCCTACCTACTTTTGATGAACTCCTCATTGCCAAGCCTCTAGGGACCAGTGTTTGATTCTTACCTTCTTTTTTTTTTTTTTTTTTTTACAAATTTATTTATTTATTTTTCATCCTGGACACAGTTTCCCCTCCCTCCTGTCCTCCCACCTCCTCCCTGCCAACCCCATCCCCTCTGTCCCTACCCCCCAATCCCGTCCTCTTCCATCTCCATCCAGGAAAGGTCAGGTCTCCCATGAGTATGAACAAAACATGGCATATCAAGTTGCAGTAAGACTAAGCACCCCCCGCCATGTATTAAGGCTGGACAAGGTGACCCAGTATGAGGAGCAGGGTCCCAAAAGCCAGCAGATGATTCAGAGACAGCCCCTGCTGCCACTGTTAGGAGTCCCACAAGAGGACCAAGCTACCTAACTGTAACATGCATGTAGAGTACCTAGGTCAGTCCCATGCAAGCTCTCTGGTTATCGGTTCAGTCTGTGAGCCCATGAGCCCAGGTTAGTTGATTCTGTGAGGTTTTTTGTGGTGTCCTTGACCCCTCTGGCTCCTACTTTCTATAAGGAAACTTTTCTCCTTCCACATATGGATGAGAACGTTGGGGTTTCTGCCCTCTTGTGCCTGCTGTATCTGACAAGCACCTGACCTTTCATAGAGACTCAAGATCTCTTCACATACTCATTATGAAGGATAGTATTTTCAGTCAAGATGGCTTAGAAGGTTATAGGCAGCTCCTTTATGGATGATGAGTAAATAGCAAATATGTACCACCTTCAGTTAGAGTGTGCACTGTGTGGTATCCCGTCCTAAACACAGAGTCACATTCCACCACATATACACACATGAAGACACTGATATTTTCTATGTGTTACAGGGAAGAGGGGGGGAAGAAAGAGAGAGAGAGAGAGAGAGAGAGAGAGAGAGAGAGAGAGAGAGAGAGCGAGAGAGCGAGCTTATCTTGTCAGGCAATATAAATATCATAGGGTAAAACTGGACAGTTGTCCAGAACCTTGTGCTTTTAAGGAATTAATTCAGAGTAGAGGAGACCAGATGTGTTCTCTTGGTTTTCTAACACAAAACCTCCAAAGAGAGCCAGAGTGTCCTAAGTGCTGGTATGCAGGCTTCTGGAGGTAGGGTAAAGAGTTCATGACTGAGTATCAGTGGGAATTCATTGGCATTTCTTTTTTTTTTCTGAAACAGGGTATCTCTGTGTAGCTCTGGCTGTCCTGGGAATTACTCTGTAGACAAGGCTGGCCTCAAATCCGAAGCTCTGCCTGCCTCTGCCTCCCAAGTGCTGGGATTAAAGGCATGTGCCAACACCACCTGGCTCACTGGCATTTCCTTTCCTTCTTTCTCCTTGTCTCAACCCCAGGCAGGTGGAAAAAAATGCCTGTGAAGAAAAGAATATGGTGGACACTCAGGATCATGGGCACAACCCTAAAATCCTAAAAACCAGCTTTAAAACAAACAAAAGGAAATTGTCCTATAGTGAACCATTATTACTCTGTGCCAAGCACACTCTCAATCCTGATTCTCTGTTTTCTTGTGGTTTATTTTCATTTTCACTTATGTGTATGTGTGTTGGTCTCTGCATGTGCATGCTGTTTCTGTGCATGGAGAGGGGGGAGGGAGAGAGAAAGAGATAAAAACCTACCTGTGAGGCCTGGAGAGTTTGACAGATCCCATAAAGATGGAATTATGTATGGTTGTGTGCTTCCAGATGTGTGCTCTGGGAACCCCACTCAAGTCATCTAGAAAAGCAGCAAGTATTTTTCACTGCTGAGACATCTGCAGCAAGCAAGGCCTGCTTCTTACCATGTGCGAGATTGGTCAGTGCATCTCTTACCCCTTCTATCACCATTGCTCTCGTTTGGTGCTGTTCAGTATGTGTTGCTTTCGCCATTTCTGGAGCACTCTATCAGCACTGCTCTGACTGACAAGCACGCTGTTGCGTTTTTCATGCTCTGTGTCAAACACTGGGTTCCGCTGGTCCGACTCGGTGTCAAGCATTCCATAAGCCTTGTCTTTAGATGGTGCCAGAACAGGTAACATTGCAAATATGCCCAACTGAAGAAGGAATGAAATATGCCAAAAACAGACACAGTTGAATCCTCAAATTATGAAGTTGAGTGAAAAAATCCCAATAATATGGACACTCATGTGTTGGAGCCTTGGGCCTCAACCACTGGTGTTTTGGACATGGGACCCAGCTATTAGACACTGTCTCATAGGGGTTAGGCTTGAGACTATAAGACTAGATCCTTTTCCTGACAAAGCATTCAGTTTTCAGATCCGCTGATGTGAGATGAATAAGATATGCCACAAATTCCTATAACCACAGACAGAGCCCTAGCTTCCAGCCTGCCACCCCACCCCACCCCCACCCCCACCCCCACCCGGTAGATGGTGTTCTCTTCAATGGTGAGCCAAAATGAATCCTTTCTCACTTCAGTTGCTTCTTTTGATATTTAATCAAAAAGATGTGGTACATTAGTAGAGAAAGTTCTCATCCAGAAGTGGGGGTATAGCTATGATAAACAGACCATCAGATATTTCACAACCGAGGACTTGAGGACTGGCTTTGGGATAAACACTTGGGATGGAACAGTCTTCTCCCAGTATATTTTGCAAGGTACAGAGATGAAGCAGTCAGCTCTGGGAAAGGGAAGGGAGTGGGAAAGAGGACTGTATTTCAGAGCATACCATTTGGTGCTGGAGGAAATGAAAGACTCCCATGTTAAAAGAGGTGTACATCTGTGTTAAAAATGCCTCCTTCCAGGTTTGAAGCTCTGGGAGAGTCCTTCAGCACTAAGCAAAGAAATTACCAGTGGTCTTGAACCAATATTCCCAAATGGAGTCATTAGGGAATAATTATAACTTTGTACTGTTGGACCAAACACAGCCATAGAGGGTGGAATCTCAACTTTCTTACCCTCGTGTTCATGTAAGCTGGAGACCCTGGTACATGTGAGGCCTCCTGCCAGAGCTCCAGTATTTGTCTCCCATGGGAAAAGAAGAGTTAGAAATTCATTACAATGTCAGGAACATTGAGGATGCCTAGGGTGCAAGTTGGGGAGGGAGAAATGGATCTGCCCAGAATCTAGCCCCAGACTCTGGGTACACGTTGTGGAAACATTTTTCCACGTGTAGAGCCTTCAGACTGTGGAGAGCTAGGTGAAGAAATGGGAGGAGGAATGTTGCCACCCAGACAAAAGAGAGTTGGCTCAGTAGCAGGGCTGAGACAGGGTTGAGTATAGACTATTACTTTAGATCTCTATGCAAATAGGAAATGACAGAAAATTTTTGTCATCTTTCTCCCTGGAGCATCAAACTCATAGTTGAATTACCCAACCCAGGAGGCAGGTCCAAGGAATTGCTGCAGAGACTCTGAGCAATCACAGAAAATATTTTTGAGGAGAAAACAGGCTTCTGTGGTTAAGCCTCATCGCTATTCTCTTTAATGGCGTCCTCAGCAATCTACAAGGGTAGACTAGGTGAAGGACAGCACCAGAAGTTATAGGAAATCCCCCCTGTGTCTGGAGACAAGGAACAAGTCTCCTTCTGGTATCAGCTTCATTGAACATGATCTGGTGACTTGTACTAGTCACTGGGGAACACAAAGCCATGTTTAACTTCTGGTCTCTAAATGTTAAGTGCAGACTCCAACGAGGGGGAGAATCTGGAAAAGCTCATGTAGGTGTAAAGATACAGAGCCAGCTATTCCGACAGCGGGGCAAGTGAGGTTTGGGGAGGTTAAGTAACTTGTGCAAAGTTGAGTGTGTAATCAAACAGGAATGGCAGAAAAGGAGAGCCCGTGAGTGTCCAGATTGCCTGCAGAACTGATTGAGTGTGTCAAGTCTTCCTGGTTCTCTAGTCAGCTGCTAACTGCCATTTCATCTGCCTAGACATCTAGCTTGGAGGCCATCCTGTGGATTTTAGTCTTGCCAAGCCCTGTAATCATCAAACCCAAGGGGTGCCACACAAGCTGCAAAAATACCACAGACTTCAAGAGTTCCTTACAAATCCTACTAAAAGCTCAAGAAGCCCGAAGTAATACTCTACCCCATTGCCATTTAACGTGGACATTCCACCTTGCAGCACCCCCCACCCACCCACCACCCCACGTTCAGGTATATGCATAATCCCCTTCAAGGGCTTGTGAAAAGATGGCTAAAGCCTGGGTCTTCACCATGAAAAGGCAACACACTGGAACTGACTGGAACAGCCTGCAGTCTATGGAAAGGAAGGGGCATCCCTCAGAAGGACATTCAGCTCTGAAACTTTGGACGAAGGGAGAAGAGAGTAAATTCCTAGGAGTCAGGACCGATTGGCTACTGGCTAAAACTTTATACAACATATAGGTGTTCCTCAAAGAATCAAAAATGGGCTTTTTAAGATGAATTTTGTTTTGTTTACAAACATAAGGACTCTGTAGCTATCTTCAGTCTCTGACTGCCCACCTCAGAGACCCAACTCCCAAAATTAACAAAAAAAAAAAAAACACTTTAGGAAGAGGAGACTAGAGAACAGATGAGAAGGACAGAGAGGAGAGGAAGAGAGGGGAGGAGAGCCTCAGACCAAAAAGGGAAGAGAGGGGAGTTAATGAGTGCTCAAAGGGCATGGAGGGGACGAAATGTGGAGCAGAAAGGTGAAGAAAGAATGGTAAAGAGAAGAATGGAAAGGAAGACTAGAAGAGCTCAGAGAACAGGGCGGAGAGGAAGAGTTAGGGAGAAAAGAGATTTTCATGTTCTTCTCTCTGCAGTCCTAGTGGCTTCTGCCACATCTCCATAGGCGGTTTCCAGGAAACTATTTCACTCGAGATTGGAAGTGGAGTATATACAGGTGACCAGAACAGCGTTTTAGGTCCCCGCTAGAACAACTCAATATGTGTTGGGCACAGTGCATAAATGAAGCTGCCATTGCCTCCTTGGTTTGTGAATTAGTGTTTGGCTAAAGATTAGACAAGTCCTGTCTTTGGGTAAGAGAAGAAATTGATTGTGATGTAGTGGTGCACATCTGTAATCTCATCATTCAAGGCACTAGATCAGAAGCATTGTGACATGGAAAACAACCTAGGCTGCTGTCTTAGTGGGCTTTCTATTGCTGTGATAAACACTAAAACCAAAAGCAACTTTGGGAGCAAAGGTTTTACCTGGCTTACACGTCTGCATCACAGTCCACTGTTGAGGGAAGCCAAGACGGGAACTGAAGGCAGGAACTAGTGGCTGGAACTGGAGACCATGGAGGAACACTGCTAACTGGCTACTCTCCATGGTTTTCTGTCTTCTTTATTATACAACCCAGGACCACCTTCCCAGGGCTGTCACCACCCACAGTGGACTGGGCATCCCACATCAATAACTAATCAAGAAAATGCCCTACATAGTTATCTACAGGAGATCTGATGAAGGCATTTTCTCAAGTGAGGTTCCTCTTCCCAGATAACTCTACTTGTGTCAAGTGCACAAAAGCCTGACCCTGACAACTATGTAGAAAGACACTGTGTCAAATAGGAAATAAAGGTAGCCGGGCAGTGATGGCGCACTCCTTCAATCCTAGCACTCCGAAGGCAGAGGCAGGTGGATCTCTGTGATTTTGAGACCAGCCTGGTCTACAGAGCAAGTTCCAGGACAGTCAAGGCTACGCAGAGAATCCCTGTCTCAAAAAGAAAAAGAAAGAAAATAGGGAAGGTGACAAACATGTAGGAAGAGAATGGGAAATAAAGATCTAAGTCTATTAACTGAAGCCATAAGAGAGATAAGAAGGACATGAGATGAGAGGAAATCATCACTGCTGGTGAAAATATTAAATATATTTTGATATATGTGCATATATATTATATGATATATTTGATCATAGTTTCCCCTCCCCCAAGTCCTTCAAAATCTACTCCCCCTTTCTACCCACCCAAATTTACATTCTTCCTCAAAAAACAAAAAACCAATACAATAAAAACCCCAAAACCAAGAAAACAAAATAAAATAACACCCCAAAAGGAAAAAACAAACTGTAACCAAATGAAACTAAACACACACATTAAAAAAACTGTGGAGTCCATTATATGTTTGTCAACTACCCCTGAGCATGAGGCCTGCCCTGGAGTGGCTGGTATACCTAGTGCCACTCCATGGGAGAAAACAGATTTTCCCTCTCCCAGCAGGTAAAAGTGACAGTTCAGTTGTTAACCTTTACCCTAGTGGCTAGATTTTCATTAATTTGTTCAATCATTCATTCACTTTTAAATATAACAAAGTAAGATCTGGGTGTTGTGGTGCATGCCTTTAATATCAGCACTCAGGAGGCAGAAGCAGGCGGATCTCTGTGAGTTCAAGACCAGCCTGCTCTACAGAGAGAGTTCCAGGATGGCCAGAGCTATGTAATGAGACCCTGCTTCTTAAAATAATATAATAATAATAATAACAATAAATAGTAATCATATAAAATAAGATAAAACAAAAACTATCACATCAAAGTTGGACAGGACAAACCAACAGAAGTAAAAAGCCCAAAAGAATACACGAGAATCAGAAACCCACTCATTTGCACACTCTGGAATCCCATAAAAACATTAAAATGGAAGCCATAATATATACACAGAGGGCCTGGTACAGACCCATGTAGGCCCTGTGCATGCTGCTTCAGTCTCTGTGAGTGCATATGGGCTTTGCTCAGTTGATTTAGAGGGCCTTGTTCCCCTGGTGTCCTCCATCCCCTCTGGCCCTTGTATTCTTTTCTGCCTCCTCTTCCTCATGGTTTCCATAGCTCGGGGAGGGGGCGTTTTGATGTAGATATCTCATTTCAGGCTAAATGTGCCAAGGTCTCTCAATCTCTACTGCCATCTGGCTGTGGATCTTTGTATTTGTTCCCATCTGCTGCAGGAGGAAGCTTCTCTGATGATGGCTGAACAAGGCACTGATACATGAATATAGTAAAATATCATTAGGAGTCATTTTATCACATTGGGGTTTTTTTCCCTTTCCTTAGACCAGTATTATTTGGTTTTACCCTAGGTCCCTGAGCTATCTAGTTTCTAGTTCTTGGTCACCCAAGCAGTGTCAAGTATGGGTTCCATCTCATGGAGTGGACCTCAAGTCAAATCAGAAGTTGGTTGGTGACTCCCACAAACTTTGTGCCACCATTGCCCTAGCGTATCTTGTAGATAGTACAGCACTGTAGATAAAGGGTTTGTGGATGGGAAGAAACCGAGTACCTTCCTGCACTAAAGACCCGGAAATGTAGGGGTGAAGGCTCTATGTAGGCACCAGCTCAACATCTCCATGTTCAATGAGTTGTGTGGGTGATGTCTTCAGCAGTGGGGCCTTGCTGGCAGTTTGTGGAGAACAATCTGGAGTCTTGGCAACAGCCTGGGTTGTTTGGGGATTCCCTTGGGATGCCTTTAGCCAACAACTCGAGATGAAACCCAATCCCAGTACCAGAAACTTCACTTGGTGACAAAAGATGGCCAGCTAGGGCTCTGTCTCCCCCATTATGTGGCAATTTCATTTAGATCGAACATACATATGAGGGAGTTTCTTCCATAATAGGTTTACATACTACCACTTAAATGTTCTTTAATTTTAGATGTCTCTCCCCATATTCCCATGCACAATCCCCTATCCCTTCTCCCTCCCCACTTGATCCTTCCCTTCTAGCCTCACACATCTATCAATAATTATCAGGGTCCACAAGGCTCCGGCTGGCAGGAAGCAGCTATCCACGACAGATGCTTAACTGCTCATACCGGGATAGCAGGAGGAACCCCAAAGACCTGGCTGGAAGGAAGAGAGCCACCCCCCACCCCTTGCTTAATTACTCAGTTGGGAACAAGCCACCTAGTACCACCAAGGCCCCGGCTGGTGGGAAGAGAGCTGCCAGGAGTCCACAAGACTCTAGCTGGAAGGAATGAAACTATCCCCGACTGATGCTTAACTGCTCATACCGGGGATAGCAGGCAGGACCCCCAAAGAGAGCCACCCCCCAGCCGGGGATATTCAACAGGAAACCTGAAGACACCAGCTGGCAGTAAGAGAGCCACCCCTGCCATGATTAACTACTGAGAAAGGGAGAAGCCAACTGGGACATCCAAGACCCCAGCTAGTGGGAACAGAGCAACCCGGGATTCTAAAGGCTCCTGCTAGGGGGTAGAGAGCAACCATGCCTGAAGCTTAACTGTTCAGACAGGGTCCAAGACCCGCATATTTCCAGTTGGTGGGAAGACAGTGAAGCAGTGTCCCCAAGGCCCTGTCTGGCAGCATGTCAGCCACCCGGGGTCCTCAAGGCCCTGGTTGGAGATTGACAACATCAAGGAGATCCTCAAGGCTTCACCTGACACGAAAACAGCTACCCTGCCTGATGCTTAACTGCTCAGACAGGTGCCGGAACACCTATGTCTCTGGGTGGCAGGAAGACACCCACCCTGGTTCCTCAAGGCCCTGTCTGGGGGGATGTCAGCCACCGGGGTCTTCAAGGCCCTGGATGGAGGATGAAAGTACCCGAGAACCTCAAGGCTCTGGCTGATGGGAAAACAGATACCCTGCCTGATGCTTAACAGTTCAGAGAGGTGCGGGGATCCCCATAACTCCGGGTGGTAGGAAGACAGCGACCTGGGATCCTTGAGGCCCTGGCTAGCCTGAAAGCAGCCAACTGGGGGCCTCAAGACCCTGACTGGTGAGATGCCACCTCCCAGGGTCCTCAAATCTCCTCGAGATGTTAAGACTTCTAGCACTGACTGATGATTAACTGCTCAGACCAGTCCTAGCCAGCAGAACTTCCTAGGCCCAGGCTGGATGGAAGACTGCCACCCCAACCTGAGACTTAGTATCTCAGACTCAGCCAGGCAATGGGACACCCAAACCCCTTCAGAGAGGAAGGCACCCACCGTGGTCCACAAGGCTCCAGCTACTGAGAAGACAGCCAACCCTGCCTGATGCTTAACTGTTCAAAAGGGTTCTAGCGCTTGTGAAACCCCAAGGCCCTGGCTGGTGAGGAGTGAGTCACCGCGGATCCTCAAGGACCTGGCCGGTAGGATGACTGCCACCTCCACCTGATGCTTAACTGCTCAGACAAGGGCCAGGTGCCTGGGAACATCAAGGCCTCCACTGTTGCCATGACAGCCACTTAGGGTCCTCATGGCCCAGGCTGATGGGATGACACATACCAAGGGCCTTGAAGTCCTCAGCTGGGGGAGTGACTGCCACTCAGTGTCCTCAGAGCTGTAGCTGGTGGGAAGACAGGCACCCCCCACCTGATGCTTAACCCGTAGCAAATTCTCAGACAGACGCTAGCTGGCCTGAACACCCGAAGAACCTGGCTGGTGGGATTCCAGACAGCCATGCATCATGACTAACTGCTGCATTGCCGGCTAGCCTTTGGGACCCCCGAGGCTCTGGCAGGCAGGAAGAGGCCACCCATGGTCCTCAAGTCTTTGGGTGGCAAGAAGACAGCCTCCCCTGCCTGATGGGTAACTGCTCAGACAGGGGTCAGCTCACTATGGCCACCAAGGTGCCGGCTGGCAGGGAAACAGCCACCCTGCCTGATGATTAATGTTCAGACAGGAGCAGGGAACCACATTATCAGCGTGTGGCAGGAAGACAGCCAACCCGGTTCCTCAAGGTTCTGGCTAGTCAGAAGACAGCTGCCCCACCTGATGCTTTACTGCTCAGTAGGGTGCTGGCCGTTCAGGAACCCCAGGGCCCTGGCTGTCGGGAAGACAGCCACCTGGGGTCCTCAAGGCACTGGCTGGTGGGATGACGCCCAACCAGGGTCCTCAAGGCTCCTCCTGATGGAAAGACAGCCAGCCTTGTCTGATGCTTAGCTGCTCAGATGGGTGCTGGCCGTTCAGGAACCCCAAAAGCATGGCTGTGGGGAGAGAGCCGGCCAGGGTCCTTAAGGCCCTGGGTGGTGACCTGCGAGCCACCCAGGGTACACAAGGACTTGGGCAGGAGGATGACAGCCACCTCCACCTGATGCTAAGGAACTACTCAAACAAGGGTGAGTTGACTGGGAACCCCAAGGTCCCCTTGATGGGATAACAGCCACTTAGTGTCCTCATGGCCCAGGTTGTTGGAATGATAGCCACCCAGGTTCGTCAGTGTCACAGCAGGTAGAATAACGGCCACTTGGAGTCCTAAGGGCTGTGGCTGGTGGGAAGACAGGCACCCCCCACCTGGGGCTTAACCCCTAGACACTGCTCAGACAGATGCTAGCTGGCTTGAACCCCGAAGAACGCGGCTAGTGGGATTCCAGCCATTTATCCGTCATCAGGAACTGCTGCATTGC